TATGCCTCGTTTGCCAATGTAGTACGCTATCAAACATCTGATTTTGACGTTATAAACAGCTGACGTCGCGTCAGCTGTTTTGCACTCTAAATTCAATTACTATTATTATTCACGTAGTTAGCTTCACTATTAATATTACTCTGTAACTACACTATATACTACACTATTAATAATTCACTTTGTAAATAAAAATGTTCAACTAGCTGTGGTAGCTCAGGTGGTTAGCGCTCGCTGTAAATTTCACAGTATGCGAGCAAACCGGGTTCGATCCCCATCGACACCAATGAAATTGTTAATTTCAATTTTAAGTGCTGATTTACCACGTGCTCGGTGGTGAAGAAAAACATCGTGAGGAAACCTGCATGTCTCCGAAATAAAAAAAAATGTCGAAGACACGTGAAATTCGCCGTAACGCATTGGGGCAGCGTGGTGGACTCTACCTTGCCCTAAATACCTCTCAGAAATGAAAGAAGGCCTGTGCCCAGCATTTGGCATATTGGCAGCATATTGGCTGTAATTTTAATGTTTAACTATATTCGCCCGATTTTCTTGATCTGGTATTCTGTGAGAGTGTGGCCATATTCTAGTCGAGCCGACCCGTTCATGCTACAGTATAGCTGCAACGTGGCTCTACCACGTATTATATTTCTTCAAAACAAATAACTTTTTATATAAGAGCTTAACCCTTATAACCTTGATAACTTATAAGTACAAATATATTTTGTACTCCCATAGAGCGACAGAGGAAGATAAACAGAAAGCTAAGTACGTTTCAAGTGATGCCGAAACAATACTCAACATATTTTGAAAGAACGTGACAAAGGGAAAAGGATTCCTATAGCTCCTTTTCTTCATTTCTAACAAAACTATAAACACGCAAATCACCAAAAAAACTATAATCGCTAATAGGCAATAAAGCTAATAAAATACAAATATTAAATTCCGAAAGGTAGATAGTTTAGGACAGATAAATAGGAGAGGTAAATGACAAAAGTCTTGAAATTGATATAGACCTAAAAGAATACCACATACAGATGGACTCAAAAGAGAAAGAACAACTAAGTGACGTCGAAGAAAATTTTCGACAGCTAGCAGAAGAATAAAGAATATTAATTTGACATAAATATATAGCCTTTGACGATAATATTCAGGTTTTTAAGTCCACCCTATAAGCTATTTCTGTCGCCAACCAGAAGTGCCTGTACTGCTGTATTCTGACCTGAAATTTACAAATAGCTACGACTAGACTGCGTTGTATTTCCCTTTAGTCATAAGACGTGACAACGTATTTTATTGCCTTCTTTGTGCGAAGTTTGTTGCAGGTATCCGGGCTGTAGCCGCTTACTATAAGATCAACTGGAAGTTCGTTTAACACTAAAATTTTATATAAAAAATATATAAAAAAATGTTATTAAACAATTGCAACACATACAAATTTTTGATCGCCTTTAATAAAAAATCAGAGCGCCATCAATCCATAAACTACGTCCAATTTATATTCCATTATAAACCAAAGCTGGCAAACAGCTGGAACGCTAAAGTAGTTTCAACGTTGAGAAACTTGAGAGGCTAGTATCTACGTAAATTACTTAACTCTACAGTTACCTCCATGAAAGAACTTTGAAACTACTTAAAAATTGCTTAGGAATCTTATGCGCTTCCAGCACTATACATAATACTAAAATTTCAATTTACGTATTTAAAAATAAAATAAAAATAAAAGAAATAACTTCAGAAAACAATGAAACATAGCTGACCAAAAATTTAGAATCGTTTAGAAGATGTGTTGATGAATTACTCTAATAATTTTACTAACATCGACTACTAATGTTCGGTTGACTATTACCGAATATTCTCGGTTCCAAAAATAATTCGCTTGCTGAAAAGCTTTATTTTTATGTTAAGCTCTTTATATGTTAAAAACTGCCACCTCTGATGAATAAAATAGAGTTATATAGAGAAGAACCGGCAATAATCACTGGAGACATATTTTAACTTTTTAAAATAATTGTATTTCAAACTTAGTTAAATATTATTTTAATACAGATAATATTTTATTAGCCTGGGCGTATATCTAGTGTATATGCAGACGCAGGGCAGTATAGATTGAGCTGTGTAATACTGCAAATGTTTAAACTTAGTATACGAGCTATAAACTTTCACTACAGAACTCTCAAAACAGGCTTATCAGTTAGCGTCACAGTAGCGCCTGTGTCATATTTATTTAACTGCTCCCGAACTTCCCGAAGTTCTGTTAACTACCCAAGAGAATAAAATATAATATATGTAAATTTTTTTCAGGTTATGGAATTTTATTTCATAACCATTTTTATAGCATTGGGTGACAAACGAGCAAACAGTACACCTGATGGTAAGTGGATACTGTGTCCAATAGATATCTACATTAATACTCGATTAAGAATCAAAATGCAGATACGTTGTCAACCCTGAGGACTAAGATGAAATGCGTCGATTCCAGTAAAGAGGATCTTCGGTTCTCTACACTCACCATACGAAACACTGCAGTATTACGCTGCCACCTTACGCTGGTATTCTATGAGAGTGTTGTCCTGCCCCGGTCGAGCCGACCCATTCGTGCTGCAACTATAAGATAGCTGCAGCGTGACTCCACCACGTCAAAAAGCATTGCCAATAGCTAGCAATTCAATTAAGTAAAATGCAAAATGGCATAACACTGAAAAGTACTAAAAGTGTAGTATAGAATACTCTAGCTGTGATATGATCTTGTAGAAAAAAACACATATTTTTCCAGATTATGGCATTATTATGAAACGTGTTGCATGTTGAAACATAACACTTATCGGTGCCCAGATCAAGGCTTCTCATATTCTTTTATATTATAAACATTATAAATGGGATCTATTTTCGTGAATAACTTGTTATTTGTAAATTATGAAGTAGTATCTTTTTCTGCTCTAACAACTTTGAAAGTAATATGCTGTTTCCTTTGGATGTAGTTGCAAAGCCCAGGAAAGTTTAAATAAACTTGATTCTTGCCAATCCCATTCGATTATGGTAAAAGTTAGGCAAACTTTATGAAAAGTTAGAAAAACATGATTCTTATAGATTTAACTGGATAGCTAAACAACTTTACTTTTTTAGATAAAGTCAAACACAAAGAACAAAAAATTTACTTTCGTTTTAAGCTTAAAGCCAACATCAAAAAAGCACAAAATAATTTCACGTTATGAAGTTGGTGCTGATGATGAGTTAAAGCCTTCAGAATGTAAAATAATTATAATCTTTGTAGTTATTTGAGTCTTTTAGAGGGGTTCTTTAGAGGTAGTTGCAAAGCTCATGAAAGTTTAAATAAACGCGATTCTTGCCAATCCCATTCGGTTGTAGTAAAAGTTACGCAAACTTCGAAAAACTTGGTTCTTCTAGATGTTACTGGATAGCAAAACAACTTTACTCCCATAGATAAAGTGTTTGCCTGTGTAACGTTCCTCCCTCTATATATAAATATTATATAATTTAACCCTTTCCAATAAAATTATATATTTCTGACCAGGATAAATAAAATATGTTTTGATCTTTCTAAATGATCTTTCAAAAGGTTTAATATTAGGCCGTTTATAATATTTTGGCGTGATCGTCTTAGTTAGGACCCTTATTTACGTTGTGTTTGTTTAGTAACTTAGTTCTTTTAGGTGTCTTTTGGAAGAGTGAATATTCACTAGAGCAATTGAAAGCTATTGGTAGTGCCTTACAAGCTAAGTGAACCCCGTTCACGAAGACAGGGATCGTCACAGGTTAAGAACATAAAACGTCCCTATTCCACTTGTATCAGGTTTACATTATTAATTTATTATTAATTATGCCTTCCCACTTGGAAAAGGCTCATAATATATTCCGGTCATTCTCAGATGGCTCAAAAAGGCGAAATCCAGTACGAAATGGATTACTAATAACTTGATATTTTTTTCTATAACAGGTACGATCAAAATATTAGGAGGGGTATATGTTCTTTTTTTACTAAATTAAATATAAGTTAGTTAAAAAAATTAAAAACCTCGAAAATATTGACCTCGGTGCCGCTTCCGGACCCATATTGCGGCATGCGGCATATATGCGGCACTATTTGACATGTGTTCACAAACAACTAGATAGTTATTAATTCCATTTATAATATTACTAAAGTACAATAGGCCTTAGTAGACAAGTTACATCTGGTTGTCTTCACGTCCAACGTTTAGGATTGATATCAGTGACGCGCACCAATCCGTTCATATATCCCATACTCTAGTGACTTTGAGAATAGTTGTTCGAGTAATAAACTGTCAGTCGCGCCGCATTGGTGGTAATATCAACGCGTCTGTGCGTTACCGCGCCACTCTTTAATTGAGGTACGTAATCGTTTTCGGTGGCTTGGTATACCCCTAAAAATGATTTCGGTGAATCCATTTTATCCACAACTATTTGAATTAATATTTTTAAATTTTAATAAATTTATGTCTTCTATGTATTAGATTTCAAAAAGGAGGTTAATATACAAAAATCAGTTTATTTTTGAAAACATTTAGGATTTTGTTAATTATTTTGATTTCAGTGGCATTGATTTCGGTGTTTTCGGTTGAAATAGGTGCACCGATATCAATTTTGCAATCACCGAAATCAATCAATCGTTATTTATTTACATTTTATGATCGTAAATTTAACTTTCTTACCACCCCTTATCTTGTTTCAGTATTGAGATTATGTCAGATTCAAAAGAAGATCGGTTGGCTAAAAAGAGATTGTCTGAACGAGACGTCGTTCAGACTCTTAATGCGAGCTTTCCGACGGGAAATCTCGCATTAAGAGTGATCCAGAGTTTTACGCAGTGCACAAAGAGAAAGATAGACAACGGTATTATAAAAGGAAGAATGAAGGAAAGATAAAATCTGTAAGTGAATTAGATCCTCGTCAACAACGAATTTTTAGAGAGAGAAGTAGAATATCTTCCAACAAACACAATTTAAAAAAGAAGGCGTAAAGAGATGAGGTGTCTTGAAGAGGATTTAATAATCGTACCAGAAGTAACCGACAAAACTGACGATCCTTTGGTGACTTCACAATCACAAACAATACGATCAGAATTGCTTCAAACTGAAGCAAGTTCCTATGTTGATTTGCTACCATCAAGTTCATCCGTCGTTTCATTTCCTTTACCTCAGCGTATTAAGGCTTATCGAGGCTCGTCAGCACCATTGAGTCCGTCTAGTGACGTAAGTAAATAATTTATAATTTCAAAGCCATGTACAAGATCATCAGTTCGTGTGATTGAAAAGGAGTTTCCTCCAACTCCAAAAGCTAACAAGAAACTGAATACCAAAGTTATCATACGTAGACTTAAATACCGCATGAACAAAATATATCAGTTACAGAAAGAGAAGATTGATCAATTGAAGACTGTCAACAAACGACAGCGAAAACAGATATATAGATTAAAATACCAAAGTGCTAAATTAAGAAAATATGAACATATAAGTAAAAATAATACTGAAGAAATTAAACAAAGTGAATCAGACACTATAAAAACAATTAAAAATAATGTGGAAGAGGACATCAAAACTTTTCTTGAAGAAGATGAAAACAGTCGTATGTGTTCTGGGAAAAAAGAGTTCATTACACAGAAAAATAATAAAAAACAAAGACGCTATTTAAATGATTCTTTAAAAAAACTTATATACTAAGTTTAAGCAAACAAATCCCCAAAATAAAATTAGTTACTCCAGTTTTTGCAAAAAACGACCGTTTTGGATACTGAAACCTAATGTAAATGTTTCTTGAATTAAGTTGTTGTTTTTTAAAGCAGTGACTCTTCAAATGTGTCATATTTAACTAGAAAATGCGATGACTGCAAAGATAAAAGCTTAATCTATAATGAATTCAATAACACTGAAGTATTGTTTTACTAGATTTGGCAAAAAAGTAAAAGAACTTATTACAAGAATGGAGTTACAAAAACTACCATTCACACAACGAAAGATAGTGACTACTTTCCCCAGGGACACCATTTTAAAATTTGAAAAAATGTTACCTTTATACATGACTCACTGTGGAGTTATGATCGCACAAAACAAGTTAATTAAAAATATGAAAAGTGACCTCACTGAGGAAGAGTGTATAATTCACAGCGACTTTAGTGAAAATTACAGCACAAAATACGGTAATGAAATTCAAGCCGTTCATTTCGGGGGTAACCGACAACAAATAACCCTGCCGACACCGTGGTCATTTATTATCATAAAAATGGACTTCTGAAAGTTCAGTCGATGTGTACATTATCAGAGTCTTTACGCCATGATGCCATTTGGCAACATTTACTTCCGATTTTAAAATTCATAGATGATGAAAATCTCAATATTCGTATACAACATTTCATTTCTGATAGTCCGTTGGCTCGGTACCGAAACCGTGAAATGTTTTATATCATCAGTAAACTCCATTGATACTTTCCCAGTTTGACTAGTATTACATGGAATTAATTATACAGAAAGCGGCATGGAAAAGGAGCCCCAGATGGTGTCGGTGCAACACTCAAAAGAACAGCTGATCGAATAGTTGCTCAAGGCAATGATATCACAAGCTTATCATCATTGATGACTCATCTGAAATCTGTTTATGTTATTATAACGAAAACTATTGACGATTCCGGTATTTATGAAAAAGAATTGCTAATTCCATCCAATCTCAAGCAATTTGCGGACTATGAAAGTACATCAGGCAGTATGGAACGCCAATAAGCCCAACCAACTATCGATGAGAAAAATGAGTTGCGCCGAAGGTGAATGTAAAAATAATTCAATGTCATGTGAACATGGGTATCATGTAGGATTATACATCATAGGCGAGCAAGCTGATAGACTGATGACTGATAGAACGAACAAGAATAAGAGTGAAGAAGATCAATCTGATTAAAAAGTCAAATCAAGCCAAAAAAGGGAGTGGAGTCAGTGCAACTGAATCCAATAAGCCTCAAATTTTATCGAATATTCTAATTCAACCTGGTTGTAGCTATTCTGTTGACCTTGCTGATGAGTTCTATGAAATCAAACAGCGCCTGTTCCATACCTTACCTTCAAACATTGGATTACATGAAAGTGACAGCTTCTGGACACGTCGACAGATTGTGAAAATATTTTTCCGACATTAATGAATGAAGTAGTTTCCAAAATTGTAAATTGTAAAGAAAATAGTGACGAGGAATATAACATTTTTTAATTAAGGATTGAAAACTGTAATACAAAGTTTTATAAGAAGTTTATTACATTGTTAATTTAATGCTGGGTAATTATTATACCTAAAGCTTATTTAATTTTCTTAAAATCAAAAGACAAAGTAATATTTTTATTAAAAATACAAATACTATTAGTTATGTAAGTGCCTTCTACAATTGTTGATGTTGTTTAAAGGATTGATTTTTAAGTGATTTTGTAGTAATTTTTTTCAATAAGTAAATTGCCTGTGATTAAGCTAGATCTCGACCAAGAATGCTGATTTTTTAAAGTTACTATAATGTTAGTTTAAGACATACTATCTTTAATGACATTTAATATAATAATTTAACGCTTCCTACCAAAGTCGATTTTTGTAAGTTTTCACAAAAATTAAGAAAAATGGTTACACATAAGTCTTGATAAAATAAATTTTTTTATTGTCAAATTAACCTGCAATTCTTTACAGATCATAAGTTCATAGTAGTACTTAGGCAGTAAATTTACCTTAAGAAAATTATCTTTGAAATATAAATTATTTTATATTTATTTGATTTCGGTGGACACCATCTTTTTTTAAATTAAATACCTTCTTAACCATTCGGTCTATACGGTTCCCTCTTCTACTTATATATATTAAATTAACTCTAGAATAGATATTTCATGTTAGTAAGGCCTAAATTTAAAAACAAAAAATGCCACCGAAATCAACCAAATAATGAGTCGCCTGATAATGACCCATTTATACAAAATACCCGATACAAGGGCTTCGCTCTCTTACATTTATTTAAAAAAATGTAGGTGGGGGGGGCACACGGCCCCTTGCTAGTGCGTAAGCACAAGCATCGACCGAAGTCGCGCATGTCAATGCGTGTAAACTCCATACAGAATACGAACGAATCCAGCCACAGTGAATGTACGTCACACGGTTTAGGCAAGTAGGACACTGGCCGTAAACCCTCCGTGAGCGCCACCACCTGCCAGATCGCCGCTCCTGCAGACGTGATGTAAGTGTATGGCATCACCACCAATTGCATGATCAGCACGACTACTAGCCGCAGAAAGTGTTATGACTCTACCGCTCACGTTAAAGGAATGGGGTCCCACGTTGTGCGGCTTTCAGCCGCAGTCTGGAGAGTCTCTTCAGATACTCCCACCATCTATCACCTACATGAGGTCGACACATATGCTACACCGACCAATACAACGGCAGATATAGCCAAAAGGCAGTTATAAGATGTTAGTAATAATTTGCCATCAGAAAGGGTTTGTGTCACTGGCGTTGAGTAAATTTTCGATCATGTTTGTCTCACCCATCAACAAGTTGCCTTCAATCATTCAAAGGTGGGAAAGTTACAGAGATATATTATTATGTTGTTATATAAAACATCATGGAGGGCAGACAGTCTGCAGCCCCGTAATGAAGGGACCCGACTTGGGTAAAGCTACTTAGGTGTGAGTCAAACCAAGACGCAGAGAGCGCCATTGAGAATAGCGTCCCATCAAACAACCATCGCAGAGACGCAATGCTGCAGAACGCAACAAGCATCAATACGACTATCGTTGGGCTTACACCATCCCAAGGTCCCCCATACATCCCAGCAGACATCACCGTCCGCATATCTCCATCGACCAGAACCACAAACAAGAGTGCGTCGAATCAGGCGCAGCACACCCGCAGATCCATCACAAGACGCAATACCGCAATTAGCAGTAAGCATCAATGCAACTATCATACGGATGGCGCCCCCTCACAACCCCTCACGACTTTGGTAACAAAGTTTGTATTGTTGTTAACTAAAAAATAAACGTGTCATACTAGCACGCTACTAAGACGCTGAACAAAACTCCACGTATCATAGCGCTAACGCACTAAGACATGAAGTTGAGTATGCCTGTTACACTTAAAGTGCTACCAAACACACTCATCCCAATCCGAAAGATAGACGACGCATCGCTATGCGCTACGACGCCGCCCACAAACGGTATGTGTGTGCGATGTTCACGGGAAAGCCGTATTGCTACAACAAAACCGCTTACCACCGGCACTAAGGTGATATGTCTAGGACACATCGGTTAGCGAGTTCAAGTTTACTTCGGACCAATTGCTCGTGAAGCAGCATACACGCCACCATAATATTCCTTTTCAGGTCCATAATAAGGACTAGTCATTTTGCTACAGTACTAAGAGCAATCGAACGTCACCCGACCACCCCATATAATGCTTATGCATCAAGGAGACCTTCTATAATAATGGTTTTGTATCATAGACCTTACTTTCATAAGTCATAAATATATAGGACTCGAACCCACGACCCTACTATTGTAATGCAAATTCATCACAGAGACCTATGTATTGCTTTTATCAACGCTAACCCTCCCCACTCACAAATAAGACTCCAATGCAATACATCATAGAGACCTTCTACAGTATTGCTTTTGTATCATAGACTTAACTTTCATAAGTCATTAATATATAGGTCTACAACCCACGACCCTACTATTGTAATGCAAATTCACCATAGAGACCTTCTATAGTATTGCTTTTGTATAATTAAGTTTACTATCATAAGTCCCTAATATAGGACTAGTCATTGTGCTACAGTACTTCAAGCAGTCGGGCACCCGATCACCCCATATATATGTACAACTGCAGATATGTATCTCCGGCTGCTACTCCATACAAGATATCTATACATGAACACCTTCCATAACTTAGGAAAATTTTCTTTTATACATGAACTCCTTCTAAGACTTAGACAATTTTTAACCAATTTTCTAATTATAAGATAAATGTTATTTATCTTTATTTTAATAATATTTTCGATTTTTATTTCTATTATTTAACATATTTTTAAATATTTTTACAAGTATTTTAATAAATTTATTTATTTTGAAAGACAATATTGTGCCTTTAATTTACTATATTATTTGTCCAATGTCTGACATGTATTTATCTTAATTTTATGCTTATTAATGTTATTTTATTGTTTAATATATTATGTATTTTAAGATTATTTTTGACGCTCTCTTATATTGAATTTAATTATTATTAATAATAATGGGCCGTCACACCTGCAAAGGACAAAAAATAATTATATTTTTTTGAGTTATTTGTAAATAATATTTTTTAATTCTTGCTTTTTTTTGGTTGCTCAGTGGCTTAGCGATCGCTCTTAACTTCACAGTATGCGAGCGTCCCTATTTCGATCTCCGCGGGCCTTTTTTTATTCTTTTAAACGGACTTAAATATATTACAATCTCAATGTTGTATAAAAGATCTAAAAGTTGTTAGAATTATTTCTCCAAATGTAAATTAAGTATACATTAATATAATTTTTAGTAAAATCATCTAAATCGGTTCACAAAGGACAAAAATATCCCGCAATATATGTACAAAAATATACAGTCGTATCGTATACTTCCCCTTTTTACAATTGGCTTGATACCCAAGTAAGATTTCTAATTACCTTGTGTAAAAACTAAACTTACATTGTGGTCGTTTATATCAAACCATTTAGTCAACTCACGCCGATTAAGTAGCCATTCGTATCTCATGTATTCTTGTTTCATACTAAAAACTAGTTTTGGTTACAAAAAAACATAGCCTATGTCATTTGCAAATAGAGTAGCTGTTCATCAGTGAAATAATTTTAAGGTCGAATTTGAAAATCCAGAGTGTACCTCCTACGAACAAACTTACATAAAAACCAATTTACCTTTTTAATTGATCTGAATTTATTTTATAATTCATATTATATAAATTTTGTACATAATCCAACCAGAACGAGCTCTTCCAATTTTGATATTTATCGCTAATGATACACTAGAATGCGAATATTCCAGAATCAACCATTGTCCCATGCGGTGCAAGACTATCAAAAACAATGGTTTTATGATGGCATTGGCAACTCAATAACCTAATCTTGGCATGGAGGATCAGCTGCGTTGTCTAGAACTCAACATTTTAAGGAATATTATTAATAAATCAGCATTCGTCTAGTTAAAAATATGTCTAGTGATATGATCCCTTATAACATTTAAGGAACTTAATTAAATGCAAAAATATCAGTAGTACACAATCTGTGATTTTTTATCGTTAGAAAAAGTTCACATAAAAGCCAAAAGTTTTATGCTCTTACACGAGCAAAGTAGGTTGGAACTTTAAAATGCGATAGCAATTAACACAGTCGGCAGATATGAATCGAAACTTGAATGAGTGCACAAAAAGAACTTGGATGTTTTCCAAAGAATATTCATGATTTCAACTATATATTAAGCATCTTTTGACGTCCTACTTGCATCCGACTTTTGAATTACGATTATAATTATATCATAAAAAGAAAATTTAAATGAAAGGAAAATATTGAGGTCAGATATGGTTACTTAATGTAGATATGGGATAAAATTTGCTTCATTTTAAACTAAATATTCTTTTAAAATAAAATAACAACTTTTTAATCGGCATTCCATGTTAATGTTAGTACATTTTATTAAAAAAATCTGTTGTTATCGTAGACTACCGTACGACTGCAAATTAAACCAAGGGCAGAAATATGTTTTACCGCACTCGAATGCATACGATGGCGTCGTATGACAATCTACTACCCTATATCATCCTGGTGACACCGTAAAAAGTGTAAAAATTGAACTGGAGATGGGCAGCAGCAAGAGAAAGGACTAAAGGTTAATGCAATTAGGTTA